GGTCCCAGCCCACCACTCCTGGGGTGCTCTGGTGAAGACCAAATTGTCACTTATATAAAAGGCTGCTAGAAACTTGACTTTTATAGTGAGGGGGCTGGAACATAAGAAAAATCTCACAATTGGCCCTTCTAAGACAAAAGGTACTGAAATGAAAGACAGCCATGAAGCTATCATTTTCAAAAGAGGGTCAGCAATGGCAGGCTGCTTATTGTATTTCTCTAGGGCAGGTATTCCTGAATAACATTAATTTACAACATCCTTTTATGATAAGTATGTTATGGAAGCATCCTGAAAAAAAACTTAGTGAACTGTGTGGATAACAGGAGGAAGGAATGTGATGGAATATCACTAATCAATGAGTGAGAGGAATGGAGGAGTGGGTGGAATAAAGATAGTGGATGAGTCAGTGAAGTGGATGATGGAATAAAATGATCAGAGAATATCATAAGATAGGTTTCCCTTAAAATATGTGACCGGACCAAAGCAATTTCTGCGTATTTGTACACCAAGATTATACAGTAAACGATCCATAAAAACTTCTTGTGCAGTTTTTTTTAAGTAATTGCAGTTTACAGTGGGCATACCAAGTTATTCTCCTTATTAAGATCTATCATTCTATTGATCATGTTCCCGTTGTCACATTATTTTTTCATAAGAGCTTCTACACAAGAGATTTGCAGTAGCACGACTAATTGATCCCCCATGATCTGTTTATTTAACCTAACAGGAGCTATTGGTAATTCATCTCCTGTCTTTTCCGCTATAGACTTAAAGGAGAATGGAAAAAAAATAGCTCAACAATTGCCCATTTAGGAGATTGTTGAATGATAATTTTTATGAAAACAAATCTCATGAGACCAATCTTACACAGTCTCCAGAAGTAACAATTTTCACAAGGAGAATTCTTCAGAAAAAAAATTGCTCCTGTACCCCAATTCCTAAAGTGCATATACAGGCAAACATCTTTTTTCTGGTGACAACTATCACCGGGACTAAAAGTGATGGGAAATGTTACATTTTGAGTCGTCACCAAACAGGTATAGATGGGATATGTTTCAAATAGGACATTTGTTCTGGTGACATCTAAGTTGGAATTTGAAGAGATTTCCTTTTCCTGTGAAAAAACAGACAGCAGACAGAGGTTTTAACCTTCTCTTTCATATCTAAAACTAGAAAAAAATAAAAGCTTTGGCTGTGTATACACTTTAAGGCCCCTTTCACATGGGTGCCTACAGTCTCTCCATAGACTGAACCCCTGTTGAGTTTGATCAGAACAGAAACAGAGGACACATATGTGGCCTTTCCATTTTTCACCTCCATGTTGGGAGGGAAAAAGAACAGGTCTATGAAATCCTTGTGGGCTGCCGGATGTAAACAGATGTGCATCCATTTATATTGGTTTAAATCTGTTCATGTCTGCTTTTTTGCATTCAGTATGACATTCAGTACGACAAACCTGAATAGACTTGGATGTGAACGCATGTATATCTGTTTACATCAGGCTACCCAGATGGATTCAATACAAAGGGAAATATTTTAAACCGTCTAATCACGGTTAAGAAAGTGACTGCTGGAAAGCCTGTGTGAAAAAGGCCTAAAGCATATCCAAAGCCAGAGGAGGTTTCCCCCTCTCTCTTTTTAGAAAGATTTCCACTCTCTGGAATGTTTTTGGGACAGAAAGTAAAATAAAGTCTCTCCAGTGGAATATAGACACCCCTGCTCTATCCAAAACTTAAAAATAGAAAACAAAATGTAGCTTAAGATACACATAATCCTTAAAATACAAGGCTAAATTGTGAGAGAAAGTAAAAGTAAAAGCTTTTTTTTTTGTCTATTTTTTAATGGGATATTCATTTTTATCTTTATATTTTGGCCGGAATTCTGCTGTAATGCTTGGTAGAATGAGAATACCTCTTTTGAATGACAGTGACACCATAGTATTGCAATTTTAAGTGACTGTCGACAATTTGTTAATTTTATGATACTAAGCAGCAAACAATTTGAAAGAAGCAGACCAAGCTGAAGACTCTGACAACAGGTTGGTGCAGATAAAAAGCCTTTGCCCACGCTTGTCATAACTGGAAAAAAAAAGTTCCCTGTAACTTTTATTGAGAAGTTGCCAACAAAAAGTGGTGAAAGACAAGTGATGTGTTCCCTACTTGACGCATCTAGTTTCATGACTACGTATATCAAGTATGAAACGTGTCAGAATGTCTTTTACTACTGACTGTTTGTAAGTAGTAAGTAAGATGTTATGTTTTCAGTAAAAGTTCCAGTGAGTTGCAGGGCATGTGTATAGATACTTATTGTGTAAAACTAATTAAAGCTGAATTCCAGCAAACAACTAAATACACAGTTAAAATGCATATATGGGAACTGTTATACCTGGCAAAAGATACACAAGTTTGTTTAATTAGCCTTCTGTTTCCACTGCCAGACAGCACAGCCCAGCCTCTATGCACCCTGAAATAGGGGTGGGCAATTGAGTTTCTCAAGGGGCCACATGAGAAACTAGGACTGTTGTGGAGGGCCAAATGCTGAAGTTGGGGAACACACGTCAAGTCTCTGGTTGCTAGGACTGCCCTGCGGTCCTAGCAACCAATGACTGCAGAGGAGGTGGACACCTGATGTAATTGGTTTCTAGGACACTAGTGATCCTAGCAACTAATGACTGAAGAGGAAGGGGTCTGTGCTGGGATTCAGCCTGTGAATGGGTTACACTACTGCCCCTCCCTTTCACAAAAATGTAATGATTCTTTTTAATGAATCCATTGCTGGGTTAAATACTGGCTTTTTTCACTTGCCTGGAGTTCAGCTTTAAAGTGACAAAAATCTCAAAAATGCATTCTAGTACCTGAACTAATAACAAACATGTAGCTTATTTGTGTATCCCTCGGCTGCAGATCCTCAAATCATCTCTCAATTGGTGCTGACATTGGCCTTCCTGCTGGAGGGAGGCTACTTTTGTTCCCCATGGTCCCTGTGTGTTGTAAAGGAGTCACCACTCTGAGCTCACTCCTTTGATGGACTACAATCTCATATTTAGTTTACTAGTTTGTACTGAGATTGTAGTCCATCACAGGAGCGAGAAGGAGGGGTGGGTACTTTACAACACACAAAGGGAACATGGGGAAAAAAGTAGCCACCCTCCAGCATTTTTAAGATTTAACTCTTCAGTTTAGTGTCACTTTAACCACTTGAAGACCAGGTGTTTAGACCCCCTACCTGGCCAGGCCATTTTTCAGTATTCAGCGCTGCAGTACTTTGACTGACATTTATTCCGTCATGCAGCGCTGTACTGAAATTAATTTTATACCATTTTTTTGGGACAGATAGAGCTTTCTTTTGGTGGTATTTAATCACCACTGGGATTTTTATTTTTTACTATATTAGGGAAACAATACCGAAAATTTAGGAAAAAAAACAGTTTTCCTTATATTATGTTAATGAAACAGTGCAAATAAATTATCTTTCTTCATACATTTAGGCCAAAATGTATTATGCTACATTTCTTTGGTAAAAAAAAATCAAAATAAGTGTAAATTAATTAGAATGTGTTACAGTTATACAGACTACAAAACAATGGCATAAATATTTGAAATGTAACAACCCCGCTGCCCTGACTGCCTATCACATTTCTTGAGGCCTTAAAATACCACAACAGTAGAAACACCCACAAAATGACCCCATTTTGGAAAGTAGACACCCTAAGGTATTTGATAAGATGCATTGTGGGTGTTTTAAAGATGTCAATTTTTTGCACAAGTTTTTAGAAAATTAAGATTT